AAAAAAAAAAAAAAAAGTTGCTGTTGAGTCTATCCAATTCAGGGCAACCCCATGCGTGTCAGAGTAAAACTGTGCTCCATAGGGTTTTCAATGGCTGATTTTCCAGAAGTAGATTTCCACGCCTTTCTTCCAAGGTGACTTTGGGTGGACTCAAATCTCCAGCTTTTGGTTAGTAGCCAAGCATGTTAATCACTTGCACCACCCAGGGACTCTCATGGACGACTACTAAGTAATAAAAATGAATAACTATTGATTCACATTACAACTTGACTAGATCTCAAGGGAATTATGCTCAGTGAAAAAAGCAAATCTCAGAAGATTATATACTGTCTAACTCCAATAATATAATCTTATGGAAATGAAAAATCATAGAGATGGAGACAAGATTAGTGGTTGCCAGGGTTAGGGAGTTGGGGAGGCATGGAGGCGGCTGTGGTTGTAAAAGACTAGCATGAGAGATCCCTGTAATAGAAGTCTTCTGTATCCTGACTGTGGTGGTCACACAAATCTACACATGCAATAAAATTTCACAGAACTAAGTACACACACACAGACAAGCAAATACAGATATATAAAACTGATGAAATCTCAATAAAGTAGATAGATTTATCAATGTCAGTTTCCTGTAGTGCTATTATACTATAGTTATACAAATTGTTACCATCGGGGGTAACTGGGCAAAGAGTATATGCAATCTCTCTGTACTATTTCTTACAACTGCAGTGAATCTACAATTATCTCAAAATACAAAGTTAATAATGAAGAAACAATTTTAATATGATCAGAACTAAACACCTTAAGAAGAAAGGCAATAAAAGTAAACTACATTAACAACTTTTTCACTGATGAGGAATTAACCAACTTTTCACTTTTTATTTTCTAAATTTTCTGATATATAGATGTATCACTTTCATTTGGAATCAATAACTCATTTGATTAAACACAAGATGAGGTTCAAAGTAGAGGTGATGTTGGGACAAGAGGAGGTGGTCCCAGTGTTCAGGCTGGGACACACACTTGGGGCCCACGACATTTTCCTTGGGTGCCTTTCATAACCAAAGCGCGATTCCTGGTGGAAAGGTGTGATATCATTAGTGGCTGAGGGGCAAGTGCTCCAGAATCTTGGAAGCCATCAGATTCTGAACACTTGGCTACAGTCAGTGCTCTTTTCACTTACTGTTGTGAGACTTCGTTCTGTGTAAGTGTGAAACCCAGCTTCTGAGTGGTAGGTCTTGAGACAGGCATGAGGTGCTCGTTCAGGGTGAGTGTCACTCATTCCTGTACTAGACTGAATCTTGGATTCTGAACTATGATCCCCCAGGAGATGGAGAACAGTTTCCTGACAAGTGACTGGGGATGCAGTAGGAATAAAAACAGGGCTTAAATTTTGGGGGGATAGAGACTAGGAAGGGATGTGGGCAAAAAAGAGAATGAAGTGAAAACGGAATAGGAGGCGGAAAGAGAAAAGCTAGCTCTCACAGAGCAATGGCTGCCTTGAGAGCCTGCAGGGAAATATCGGGACAGTGGGGAGGAGCGAGAAGAGAGAACCCTGTACCAGTCATGAGGAAGTCTTGTCCTCAGGTGGGGGTAACTGGCACTGGCCTTCTTGTCAGGGCCTGAGCACTGCCATAATCGGGTTCAATGGCCCTTTGAGACAGACATGGGCCACTCCGGTCCTATTTTATGCCAGGCTTGATTCTCTATAGTCCCTGGGTGGGACAAACGGTTAAGTAAGGAAGTCCCTGGGGTTACGAACATCTGATTTATGAACAACTTGTACTTGCCCTTTAATTTTATGTAAATTCGCCCTCACTGTGAAACGACTGAACCAACCCCTACTCACAACAAATTCTTCATCACAATCACCTTCACTGGCTGCATGTGCACTTTTTAAAGCATTGAAAAGTTTTCTTGCCTTTTCTTACACTAAAATAAGGCTAAATAAGAACCATACGCACCTGTTTCGACTCCCTACAAATTCAATTTAAAGACTTAAGACACAGATAGGAACGGATCTCGTTCATAACCCTGGGACTGCCTGTACTCGGCTACTAACTGAAAGGTTGACGATTCGAGTTCACCCAGAGGTACCTTGGAAGAAAGTCCTCGTGATATGCTTCCAAAAGTTCACAGCTATTGAAAACCCTATGGGGCACAGTGCTGCGTCGACACACATGGTGTCGCGATGAGTTGGAATCAACTTGACAGCAACTGGTTTGGTGACTGTGGTTTTGATTCTCCATGAATTTATAGTGGTTCACAGGGTTATTTAGGTAGAGCTGATGACAAAATAAGTATGTGAGGTCATCCAGCTTGTCCCTAATGGAAATGTGACATGTGGTCCAACTGTCACTGCCACTAGCGGTTCTTCCCTTGGGCACTCATCAGATACACGCTCTAATCCCAAATCCAAAGTGCTCTACTCATGGACAAGGGACAACCTCTAGACAAGTTGAGTCGTCCCTCAGTGTCTTCATTTCCTCATCTATAAATCTTACCTCATACACCAGGATTAAATGATCTTTAGTGCACAGATCTATATCTGAAATTTAATAAGGTATCAATAACTGTTGGAGCCCTGATGGTGCAGTGGTTAACTGATAGGGCTATAAACCAAAAGGTCAGCAGTTTGAGTCCACCAGCTGCTCCTTGGAAACCCTATGGGCAGCAGTTCCACTCTGTCCTCTAGTTTCACTGTGGGTCAGAATCAACTCAACTGCAATAGGTGTGGTCTGATATGGTGTAACTGTTAGCTACTATTATTGCAATTTTAGCTATTATTAGGTATCACAAGAAGCAATTAAACAGGAAGAAACGTCCCAGTATGAATCAGATTGGATCTTTTCAATTTTTTGGTACCCAGAGAAGAAAAGTTCCCTTTGAACTCCACACCAGACTCTTCAGAGACTGCTCCAAGCCAAAAGGACCCAGCAAAGAGGGGTTAGAAGAAGAGGGTGTGCATGGAGAGGAAGGCAGATGTGTGGTCATTTGCCCCTCTATCCTGGGTCTTTGAGTGAATGAAGGGGATGGAGCATCATGGCTCCAGCACTGTCTCTCCAGGTTCTGCAGGGGGCAGGGGAAAGGGTGTCCAGAGGAAGTCAGGGAAGTCACTTTTTTGTTCACTTTTGTAGCTCTGCAAGACAGAAGACCAGAGAATTCCACATTTGTCTCCACAGAGGTGTCCTCCAGGCAGAAAGATCCATGGGAAGATCTTTCTTCAGATCAGGAGAGCAGCTTTTGCCTGTCAAAGAATGGTAAATAAGTCAGTCAATTCCTACTCTTCTTTGTAGAAAAATGCAAAGGGGATGATGGGCATTGCTGTCTTATTCCCTCAGATGTCACAGACAATCCTCAAGGTGAGCAAGAAGGTAAAGCCCAGCATTTCTCGGGTAAATCCTACCTGTGCTCATGCTGGGTCCTCTCTTCCTGCAGCTCCATGTAACAAGAGTCGTCTGGCCTCCAGTTCTGCCTCTTCAGAGACTGTCCCTGAGCAGAGGACCGGGGACCGGGGGAAGAAGGGCCAGAAGAGAAAGAGATTGATGGATATCAAGGCAGGTATGTGTCATCAATTAGGTCATCGACATCCTTGTCCCTATACAACGGATCAGTTACTGCTTAGTAACCACTTGCCCATCTTGTCCTCCCCAGTGCAGGGTCTAAGTCTTCAGTGCGAGCTGCAAGGGAAGAACCCAGGATTTCCCAGCTGGGTCACGTCCATGTTCACATGGGAACTTTTGTTCCAGCAGCTACATGTGAAAGCAGCCCTCCGGCTTCCAATTTGCCCTCTGCAGAAGCTATCTCCCAGTTGAAGTTCTGGAAGAAGAGGAGGGAGAAGAGGAACATGTGGACTGTCAACCATGTTGAGGAAACAAAACTCAGGATGAACAAGAGGAGAAGACCCAGCTACCGCCCAAAGGACCAAGAAGCATTCTACCGACTTCTGGGTGTGTGTCTTGAGTGAGTGGAGTGCCCAGGGCCCTTCTATACTGAGAATAGTGTGGAGGGTAGTGGCTCTGGGAGCATACTCAAACCTCTCCTTGGGGCTTTAAACTCTAAGTTGTCCATTTGGCACTGAAACACAGAGACAGTGGTTTTACTACGGTGCTGAGGGGCTTTTCTTCTCTGAGACAATTACTTGAAGCAAGAAAAAAAGAGGCCCACAGTTAAATATTCAATTATCAAGACATTTCAGGACAAACCAAGCAATGTATCCCCTGCCTACATAGACTTATTCATTTATTCCCACCAGTCAAAATTTTAGAGATTAGTGATGGAAGGATAAAAAAAACCTTGCTTTCTTTATACTAAAAAAAAAAAAAAAAAAAAAAAATTAGTGGACAAACACAAAAAACAAACAAGTAAACATGTACAGAAACACGATGCTCTCAGCCAGTGATAAATGCAGGAAAGGAAGGAGATGTTATTACATCTACAGACAGGGTATGAGCAAGGGCAGAGGACCTTTATGAGATGGAATTCTCAGGAAGTTCTGTCTGAGGTGACATCACAGCTGAGTCCTGAAGGGTGAGAAGGAAGTGGCATGCCTGGGGCTGGGGTATGGAAGATGGAGGGTGCAGGACAAAGACCAGAGATAGGACCAAGTGTGGCAGGTTTGGATACTACACTGGGGTTACACTATCCAATCCAGTATCTATGAGCCACATATTAATTTTAAATTTAATACCATATTGGACAGCACAGATACAGAACATTTTCATCATTGCAAAAAGTTCGTTTGGACAGTGTTCTTCTGACAGTCAGGTTGACTAGAGAAGAGTCAGGGAGAGAAAATGATCTGTGACCTCTCCACCTTTCCTGCTGTGCCCTTCCTTATCCTGGGCAAAGAATGAAGGACACCTAGGACTCAATGCTTCTCAGGTCTTCACTAGAAAATGGCCCCTCCGAGGGACACGTCTAATCACAGATGAGCCTCCTGGGGAGGAGGGGTGGCCAAGTCATTATCTGCAGGGACTGAGGAGACCCAGGAGGGCAGTGATGCACAGCTTGCCCTGGGGGCTATGAACTCTCCCACCCCTGGGGCCACGGTGTTCAGTTAACAGATGGGGCAGGAAAGCTTTGCAACAGTCACAAAATGATGAAGGGCCAAGTCTGGTGTCACAGAGACCCAAGGGCATCCAAGCTTTTTAATTTGGGGCAAATCTGTTAAACTCTGAGGCCTGGGTCACATCTCTGCAGTAGACAAACTTATCACTTCCCATTGTGACTGTGTGGAGGAATACATAATAATAGCAAAATTCTGGCCCCACAGTTGAAACTCAATGTGTGTTTGTCAATGGAAGGAATCAGACCTATTATTGATACTGAGGCTAATCAACCTCCCGAAGGAAAGGGAGTTTTGCTTCCACTTCCACTGGACAGAGAAACTCAGAGAAGGTTCAGATTTTCCTCCTTCCCTCTGAAAAGGGTTCCTGAGCCCCATCATCACTTCTTCCTTCCTTTGCAGAGGACCCTGTCATCCAGAGCTTCTTGGAAGCTGACATTTTCCTCAGAATGTCTGACAAGGTACTTGCAGCCCCAAAGTGATAAGGACTGAGGGGGTCTGCAGAGTCACCACACCATGGGGAGCAGTAGAGAGAACATGGATTCTGCCTGGGCAGGAGAAGCCCTGGAGAGTCCTGCTCTCACTGTCTGAAATGAAGTAAGGGTGCACTGCCCCTTCCTTGTCCTGCCCCACTGGGTCACTCCTTGTGGCCCTCCTTCCCATTGGCTCATCTCCTCAACTGTGAAACCTTCAACAAGTCTTACCCTGAGCGGTTTTGCCGCCATGGCCTGTGGTTGGTGGAAGGTCCAGTCATCCATTGAGAACTATTCCTTCTATTCAATTCCTCATCAATCTCATCCTCTGGCCACTAACTCACAACTCCGTCTCTGCTCAGTACCTGCTCTCCATGGTGGTGGAGTACTTTGGCCGCGTGGGGCTGCCTGGGTACCTGTACAACAGAATCTACTTCTTCCTGGCCCTGTGAGCCCTCTCTCTGTCTGAATCCCCAAATCCCATGGTCCTCCAACACCCCCTTCATGAGGCTAGGCCATGCCCTAGCGCCCGAAGTTCCATAAAGTGGTCACTCCCATTGGCCACAGGCCCCAGGAGCTCTGGCTCCTTGGAGCAGACAAGACTTTCAGGGCACATGGTTGTAGAGGAGGGGAAGGCAATGAATAATGTCCTGGGATAAAGGAAGTAGCCACAAAACACCACTTGCTCCCAGGAACCGGGTTATCTGAGGGGGAAAGCCCAGGGAAATGAAAGAGGTCAGAACCTTGGCCCAGGTAAGGCACAGCACAGGTACCACAGGCTCAATGTTGAGGATGGTCTTGCCACGCCTGAGACTCAGGTCACCAGCAGAGAAGGAACGCCGCCCCCCCCCCCCCCCCCCAGCTCCTAGCCACACCCCCCAGGGCTCGTGCTTCCTCAGTATGACCTCTTAGCTGACCTCTCCTTCCTGTCAAGCCCAAGCCTGGGGTCGAGGCTGGGGCTGAGGCCAGCTTCCCTTCCTTTTCTGGGGCAGCTACATCACCTCTGACATGGAGGACAACCCCACGTCCAAGCAGAGCATCTTCCAGTTTCTGCTGGGCAAGGAGCACTGGGCAGACCTCTATAAAGAGTTCCTGAAGCTGAAGGTGGAACTCTTCCATGCCATGGGGCACCGAGCCTGGGTCACCCCAGAGTTGTGCGAGGACTTCTTTCAGGGATGGCAGCCATGCGGGCTGGGGGACAAGGGTACACCCCGTAGATCAGTAGGGGCTGGGCCCTTCCCTCCAGATGCTTACCCCTCTGTGTTTCCCTTTCAGATCCGGGCCCAGAATCCACATCACTGGGTTTGGAGTTGGGTGCACCAGTGTGCCCTCTAAGTTTCCAGGGAGTGGGAACCAACCTGGGCGGGGTGTGGATTGGGCACTGCAGAAGGTGCAGGTGAGTGTGGGCAGGTCACAGCTCTCTGCAGGGTGGGACCAGCCCCAACCTCTGTGCCCCTGTAGTCACCAATCACCTCCGGGACTGAGGTGGTATAAAACAGAAACTACTGGATCCCCTCCTGGAGTTTCTTAATGCATATTAGCATAGTGATGCACTGAGAGCTCCTGTGATAAAGAAAGTAATCATCTGTGTTTAACTCAACATTTCCCAAGTGAATTTAAATATGGAATTGTGTACTATGCACCACAAGGTCCCAATTTGCATATCAATGTTTTTTTCTAGGAAAACTTTTCAAAATGCTGCTCTAGATAATAACCTCTGCAAGATTTTGATCTGAGTTGAAAATTTTAAATATAAGAGCATGAAAAACGCTGAGGTCATCCTTTCCAGAAAAGTTACTGTTATGGAGGCTCTTGGGAGGAAAGAGAAAGATACATTCCAACATTTTATCGTATGTTTTGTTCCCACATGAAGCAAGGTGCACTGAGCTGGACCCTCGAAGGCTGTCCCAGGGCCTCATCTCCCGGCAGAAGGAGCTCTGGGGTTCTCTGGTCTCTAATAAAATAAGATCACTACACATAAAAGGAAATAAGCACAGATGTAGAACCATGAGGAAGTCCATAATTGATGGATTTATAGAAAACTTCCACTTGTCTGGCATCACACTGTTTAGAATGTGCTTTCTGTGGTTTCAATTTAGTTTTTATATTTGGATTTTCTTGAAGTAGGGGGATACCTCGAGTGCAATGTGTAAGGAACCCTCTGCCTACGGCAGACAATCATAGTGCAATAATCCTGTGAACTGAGCCATCCCTGCCACACTGTATGGAGTGATGGAGCCGATTATGTCCCCAGGAAAAAGGAAAAGGGGAGAGAGGAAAGCCAGTAAGGTGTGGTCTCAGATAAACCAAGTCTGGTATAAAGTTTAATTTATCCACAAGCTTTTTTTGAGGATCCAGAACCACCACATATGTCCACCCTATAAGGAGCCCTGGTGGTGCGATGGTTAAGCGCTCAGCTGTTAACAGAAAGGTCAGCTGTTCAAACCCACCAGGCGTTCTGCGGGAGAACTATGTGGCAGTCTGCTTTCATAAAGATTACAGCCTTGGAAACCCTATGGGGCAGCTCTACTCTGTCCTATAGCGTCGTTATGAGTCAGAATAGACTCGACAGCAACAGGTATACAGGGGCTTTAGCTGTCATTTCCCCTTCTTGGGCCTCATCACTTATATGAACAGTGAAGGTGAGCTGATTTTCCCTGAGCATCTTTCTAACATGTACCAGGTGGGAATTTGAGAACTTCCAGGCTCAAGTATTTGCCTTCCACTCTGCTGTGATCTCACTCTCTTTCCTGGTAGCTCCCATCCACCTCCGCCTCCCCCCTCTCCCTCCCCCAACCAGGAAGTGGCTGTCACATTCCCATGCCCCAGGTAGCAGCAGCAGCAGCAGCCTCCAGCTTTCCTTAGGCCTCTAGAGACGACAGAGAGCTCAGGCAGAGCCTGGACCACAGCAGCCTGAACTCGGAGTGTCAAAACCAGCCAAATGGAACAATGACTCCAATCTTCAACAGGATGTCAGCGCTTGACCCCTGATATCCTGGGGAAGGGTCTAGCAGTAACCTGGAGGGGGATCCAAGGGAACTCAGAGACCCAGGAGAAGGAAGCTGAAGAAAGAGGTCACAAAAAAAAAAAAAAAAAAAAAAAAAAAACTGGAAAATGACTAGGAAAAGAGGTGGAGCTAGAAGAGAAACACACAAGAAAAGAGGAGAGGAGCCCATTTTACACCAACAGTATCTCAAGGAAAGTTGTGCCTGCAGATGTTCCTGGACAATCTACTCATACTTTATCTAATGAAGAAATGACAGGGAAACTTCAGCAAAAGGACTAGTGGGAGGCACTGAGTATGTCTGTATGTACATCCTTGGTTAAAACAAAGATGGGAATAAGGCAAAAAGTCATATGCAGTTGTATGCTCTGACAATAGAGAAATATAAAAATGGGAGGAGAAGCCTGGATGAGAGGTGGGGAAGGTCCCAAGGTACCATCAAAGCTGGGAATAAAACAGTGGATGCCAAGGTAAGGAAAAGAGGATTCAAGGCATTATATGACGGTATCAAATGTATTCACTAGAACTAATTTAGGAAATAATACTGGAGTTATTATTCTCTGTCCTTTAGCATAGAGAATGTGACCCAGCTGGTGCTGGGCTCATAAGGACTCACAAGGACACATCAACTGGGCCCTGAGGTATAAAGACAATAGCTAAGATAATCTTGGAAAATATCTTTTAGGGAAACTTTCACATAAAGCACATATTTCACATAAAACACAACACAAAAGACTTTCTACTCTTTTTCTGTTAGCATTTAGTGAATAGAAATTTGTTGGACCAATGAATACCCTCTTGACTCTCGTTACTGAAAACTGTACCAGTGATTGTTAAGAAAGACAATTCAAAATGTAGGATCACAGTTTCTAGCCAATCTGAAAAGGCTAAGCTTTCAATGGTTTTGCCCATTTGTAATGTTTATACTGATGACTGTAACTGTTCTTTGGACTGAGGCAGACACGGTTGTGGAAGCATGCTTGTCTGTTTTCCCATTCTTGCCGATTCTGTGATATTCTTTGGACTTGGACAGACATGGCTCTAGCAACATGGTTGTCCGTTTCCCACTTCTGCCCTTTTGAATATATGCCAAATAAAACTTTTTTTGCTTTACTAGACTTTGTGATTTTTTTCCCCTACAAAAGAACAAAGACATGAGCCATCCTACACATCAAAAGTAATGAATACAACAAATTTTAAAAGAGCAAAGAAAACAGACAAAATAAGTTAAAGACACACAGCAAATATGAGATATAGTAAATATAAGGAGACACAACTGACATCAGTCATATTGTTTTTATTAATAAATATGAATGCACTAATAAAAATGATTTTCAGATTGACTCACAAAGCAAAAGCCAACCCTATGGTGTTTATTAAAGATTATCCTTAAGTGATTCAGAAGTGCTAAAAACAAAAGGGAGGGGGTGCACCAAGCAAATACTCTCAAAATGAGAGAAGAAATTATGATCTTGATATCAAGGTAAGCAGAACTCAGGCTCAAAATCCCTAAAAGAGACTAGGAAGGACACGGTGGGGGAAGGGAGTGGGAGGAGAAAGTTCGGGGCTCTTAGCACCAAAGCCCACGTAGCTGGGGAACAGGTGCACAGACTGGTAAACGTGACCCAAGGGGCCTGGGCACATCCACTGCAGCTTGATTTGCCATGTGATCTTCAGGCTTTACAGCTATATGTTTGTTGGTGTAGCTAGCTGTTGATGAGTTGGCCCCAACTCATGGTGACCCCATGCACAATGGAATGAAACGCTGCCCAGTCCTGCGCCATCCCATGATTGGTTGGGGATTGGACTGTTGTGATCCATAGGGTTTTCACTGGCTGTTTTTTGGAAGTAAATCACCAGGCCTTTCTTCCTAGTCCATCTCAGTCTGGAAGCTCCACTGAGATCTGCTCAACATCATAGCAACATGCAAGCCTCCACTGACAGATGGTGGTGGCTGCGTATGGGGTGCATTGGCCAGGAATCAAACACAGGTCTCCCGCATGAAAGGCGAAAATTCTACCGCTGAACCACCACTGCCCTCATAGGTATAGCTATTTTAGATTGTTGTTGTCAGGTGCTGTCAAGTTGGTTCCGACTCATAGCAACCCTATGTACAACAGAACAGAACACTGCCCAGTCCTGCACCATCCTCACGATCGTTTTTATGCTTGAGCCCATTGTTGCAGCCACTGTTTCAATCCATCTCGTTGAGGGTCTTCCTCTTTTTCACTGACCCTCTACTTTACCAAGCTTGATGTCCTTCTCCAGGGACTGCTTGCTCCCTCCTGATAACGTATAACATGTCTAATGTATGTGAGACGTAGTCTCGCCATCCCTTGCTTCTAAGGAGCATTCTGGTCGTACTTCTTCCAAGACAGATTTGTTCTTTCTTTCGGCAGTCCGTGGTATATTCAATATTCTTCACCAAAACCACAATTAAAAGGCATCAATTCTTCTTCAGTCTTCCTTGTTCATCATCCAGCTTTCACATGCATATGAGGCAATTGAAAACACCATGGCTTGGGTCAAGGTCACCTTAGTCTTCAAGGTGACATCTTTGCTTTTCAACACTTTAAAGAGGTCTTTTGCAGCAGATTTGCCCAATGCAATGCATCTTTTGATTTCTCGATTGCTGATTCCATGGGTGTTGATTTTGGATCCGAGTAAAATGAAATCCTTGAAAACTTCAATCTTTTCTCCTTTTATCATGATGTTGCTTATTGGTCCAGTCATGAGAATTTTTGTTTTTTTTTATGTTGAGGTATAATCCATACCGAAGGCTGTGTGGTCCTTGATCTTTATCAGTAAGTGCTTCAAGTCCTCTTCACTTTCAGCAAGCAAGGTTGTGTCAATCTGCATGTCGCAGGTTGTTAACGAGTCTTCCTCCAATCCTGATGCCCTGTTCTTCTTCATATAGTCCAGCTTCTCGCATTATTTGCTCAGCATACAGATTGAACAGGTACAGTGAAAGGATACAACCCTGACACACACCTTTCCTGACTTTAAAGCATGCAGTATCCCCTTGTTCTGTTCGAGCGACTGCCTCTTGATCTGTGTACAGGTTCCTCATGAGCACAATGAAGTGTTCTGGAATTCCCGTTCTTTGCAATGTTATCCATAATTTGTTATGATCCACACATTCGAATGGATCATTTTAGATAGGAAACTTTGTTACTGAAATTCTTACAGGAAAAATAACTGCAATTGCCAGACCAAAACTCTCTAGCTCTTTACCTCTTTCTTCTCATTTTGATTTTGTCACAGAATTTCTAATAACTGTAAGGTTTCCCAGGGACCTCATGGTCAAGTGGTACACAGAACAGCCAGTCCT